GCCGTGTCGTAAGCCGATACACTTATTTCTCCATCTTCCATTGAACACAACATCCATCGTATTGATTCCACAAGTTCCCTTATCCTTTCCTCTGTTGTTGTCTCCTATTTTTTCACAATCGAAATCGAAAAAATAAAAAAAATAAAAAACCTAAAATTTACGCTTTAGGTGCAAGAGGTGGATCGTAAAACTAGCAATGAGAAGAACTGCCACCGGTGAGAAGATGCCATGGTTGTGTTATAACTAAGGAGATCGGAATGGGGGAACTAACTTGAAATGCTCTTTCAGTTAAGTACTGAATTTATAGGGCATTTCATTTGTAGGGATCACTGTTACAAGAAAAAATATAATTATATAATAGGGGGTGTTTGATGCACATTTTTTAGAAAAGAATGCATTTTATGATGTTATGTAATAGAAAATATGTGGTTAAAAAATAAAGAAAAATTTTGAATTTGGGTGTAATATTATTTTATTGAAGAATGTGTAGTTGAAAATGAGTTTTGAAAGAATGAATTTTGAGAAGAATGCGGATCAAACAGGTATAAACTAGACTGGTTAGTACATGAAATTGACATTCTGGTTCACGCACACATCGGCATGCCTAATAATTGTATCATAATCTACAGTGATATACACAAAAAGTGAACTTAATTTGACTTCTAATTTGTTCTTGCAAATATGGATAAATCTATATGTACATAATTATTGTATACAATGAATTATATGGCCCATGTGGAAGAAATCCGACCGTGGATGTGAAGTGCGTATAAGTCAAAAATTGTAGACTACTAATGGATGTACGTCACATGTCAATTATATAATGTATTATGTAAATGATTATGTACTTGTAGCATGATCCATTTGACAATCCCAAACACCCCATTATCAAACCTATTATTTTCATAATGGATTATATAGGCCCATGTGGAAGAAATTCGACCGTGGATGTGAAGTGTGGAAAAGTCAAAAATTGTAGACTACCGATGGATGCGCGCCACATGTCAATTATGTAATGTATTATGTAAATGATTATGTACTTGTAACATGGTCCTACGAATATTTCTCCTTCATTGTGAATCTGTGATTCCGTGAGCAGTGACTAGTGAGGGCATTTCTCTTTCATTGTTCTGTCGTTCTCCCTCCCTTTTTTTTTTTCTTTTTTGGTTTTGGTATTAATTTATGCTCTATGAATTAATTGATAATTTGACATTCAAAAGAGAATTGTGAATCTGTGATTCGGGATAAATAATTTATTTTGTATTAGTTATGAGTTATAATTAATCATTTTTTTTTTATTTTTGAGTTGTGATTTGGGAATTTATACTTAGGAAATTAGGATAAGAGAGAGGAAAATCCCTTTATGGGTTCAATTTAAATATTGTTATGGTAAAGATACCACTATTTTTAAATGACTGGTCATATTTTCATTAACTTTTTATTAAAATGTGCTAATTTTTTTTTATCAAAAGCTTTTTCACAGTATAATTTCAAATAAATTTAATGTTTCACTATATAAATCAATTCCTATTGTTATGTTTGATTTATTGCTACTTTGTAAAACGTATTTTAGTGAAATCGTGTTTTTCTTAATTAGAGACTCCTTAAAGTATGAGTGAGACTTGTCTTTATAACTTGGGTCATCATCCTTTAATTTTTCTTAATTGATGTCACCTACAGGGATACATATTTTATAGTTTGCTCTATCTATTTTAGCATTCGTAGATAACAATCCCAAACATTTCAAAAATATGTAGGTTTTATCCAAAATTGTGATTTGTAGTAGCGCTGGTTCCGAACCTTTCAAATTGGTGCGACGAAAGGACATGTAGATGATTTCCGTCCAAAAATGTGTTGTTTGATCAAAGTTTAGCATTTGATCATAATTTGACCAATTTTAGAAAAGGAAAAATGATCTTCAACCATTTTATTAATTAAAAAATGGTAATTTACATTTAAAGTTCCAAATCTTTTAAAATTGTGCTGTGAAGGATCCAAACCTTTATAAATGTGCACCTAAAGGACCCTAATGAATTTCATTAAAAATTCTATCAATTGACAAAAATATTCATCTTTTTCAATACACACAACCAACCACTCCCACCCATTGGTAGGTAGGGAAGCCTTCATTACCATTTTTGTTGTTGGTTTTGAAGTGAATTCATCTATCTTTATTTATTTCTTCCCAATTTTTTAAAGATTATTTCCAGTAGGAAATGAAGTTGATGAGATGGATAAAATGTGGTCAACGGAGGTGGAGGAAAAGAGGTAGCGATGGCAACATTGCTGTGAGGTTTGAGGTTGATCATAAGTATTCATCTTGCCTAATCTTCTCAACCTCAACCCCTAACCCACCCATGGAACAAACTTCATCTACCTTGACTGGTGAGCCTCAAAATAGCCACTGCCACCTGAACTGTAATCACAATAGCGTTAGCCACCGCCATCCAACTACAATATTTCTAACATTTTCTTGTTGCGTTTTTATTTTCTTCACTGACAAGCAAACAACAGCGAGAACAAGAGCTCAATACCATGAATAATGTAGACAGTGAGGATATTTTCTCTCTGCTAGTTCATTTGTATTGCCTATCATTCTAAGTATACATGAAGGTCAGAGCTTTAAATTAGAATACATTACTTCCCTCCTAATTATCCGTTTCTCCGGCAGGGAAGCAAGAAATTTATTTATTTATTTATTTTTATTGAAAATACCAGAACCAGCCAACCAGTTATCATTGAAACCAAATCACCACGAACTGCAGTTGAAACAAAAATGAGGAAGCCAGTCTTCCCAGATATAAATACCAAATGCTAAAGAAACTCAAGCAGCAAACCTAAACAAGGGCTTCAAAGTCTGACATCTTAGGTAGAAATCACTATGAACAGAGAAGAAAAGAAAAGAGAGAAACAAATAATATCAGTCGAATATGCATCACAATGTCACTCGCAGGAGCATTGAAGCAAAAACTGTTTTTAACTCAAAGCAGCAAATAATCTATGTTATATTTGCCGATACAGATGGTCTTGAACCATGTAAAATGACTATAGTAGATAATGAATTTTGTTAATATGAACCAACTGTAGAGAGAGCTTCCAAACAAAAAAGAAGAGATGCAGAAACAAAATAAACTCCTCAGGATAAAACTAGCATAGCTGCGTAGGTATATAACCAAAAAAAGAGGAGATTATTCTAAGATGATATCAATAAATCAGAAATTACCAACTAATTCTGAATAATTAGGGTCAAAGAAGGTAGTTGTTGTAAAATATAGAGAAGACTTGCACACAAATAAAGAAAGGTATGTCACTAAATCTCTCATTTTTCACTGTATGGTACAATACAAATATTAACCCACAAAATTTCCTAACCCTAAATTCAGTTTGCATGTAAATCGAGAGTCGTCGAAAAATTTGCTTGCTACATTTTAAAGCAATACAGCACAAACTTTGAAGCTCAAAGAGGGGAATAAGTAAAGGAGATAGCCAGTCGGCTTCGACTATCTACTACTGTTGGTTGCTTTAGCCTTGTTTAAGTTGGCAATCTCTTCTATGAGTTTCCTCTCCTCAGTGCTTAGGCGCTTTGGAATCTCAACTTGCACTTTCACCAACTGGTCGCCCCTCATATTTCTTTTGTTCAAAAGGGGGACGCCTTTTTTTGCCATAACTAGCGTTGTATTAGGTTGGGTACCCGGTGGAATCTTGAGGTCAACCATCCCATCAACCGTTGGCACCTTTAACGTTGTTCCTAAAATAGCATCTATATATGAAACCTTGCAAGTGTAAAGTATGTTGGTGTCGTCCCGTTTCAAAACAGGATCAGCAAGAACTTCTATTATCACGAATAGATCCCCGGGAGGGCCCCCTCTCCTTCCGGCATTTCCCTCGGATCTGACCCTCAAGCGACTGCCAGAGTCGACCCCAGCAGGAACTTTCAAGCTAATCCGCTTTGACTTCCTTACTCGGCCATCACCATTGCATGTGTTGCAAGGAGTAGACATTTCTCCTGTCCCACCACAAGAAGAACATGTCATTACCTGTTGGAAGACTCCAAGTGGGGTCCTTGCTGACGAGACAACTTGGCCTTGACCACCACATGTGCCACATGTAGTTGGCTTTGTTCCTGGTTTCGCTCCAGTACCATCACAAGTGTTGCAGCTCTCAAGGCGAGCTATCTCAATCTCCTTTTCAACCCCAAATACAGCTTCTTTGAAATTCAAAACCAGATTGTAGATCTGGTCTTCACCTTCTGTGGCCCGGTTACGAGAGCCTCTTCCTCCCATGCCCATACCACCCATACCGCCAAGGCCATCGAATAATGACTCAAATAGATCAAAGGGGTTGCTAAAATCCTGCCATGGAGAAGCATACGATGTTAAAACATTTGTATATAGGAAAAACTAGTACAAGGAGCGGATTTTTCTTTTTCTTTTTTCTTTTGGTTCACTCTTCTATTATATCAGAAAGACTCACCCCTGTGCCCATGCCAGCACCTTTGAGCCCAGCTTCCCCATACCTATCATAAATGGAGCGTTTCTCGTCATCTGACAAAACCTGTAGCACAAGTCACATGTATTTATGACCAAATCCTAAATAATAGTAGCCACTGGCTTGCATGCTGAGTCAAGAACAGTCAACTAAATTAGTATAGAGTAGGGGTAGGGTAGAGTGGGTCGGTGGGGTAAGGGATCAGATACTTCACCTCATAAGCATTACTAATCTCTTTAAACTTCTCTTCTGCTCCAGGTTCTCTGCAGTACAGGAGAAATAGGAACACAAATGAGCAAACTGCTCCTCACTTGTATCATTTACATAAAGCTTTAAAAGAGAGACGCTTTTTTAAGCATGTACTAACATAGTGCTATATTGACTTCCATGTTGATGAAGGTTCTTGCACATATCTTGAAAAGTATGTCTTAATTACTACAAGGTTAACATTTTACCACAAATAAATGTCATGTTTTGTAAATTTGACTCAACTATTGTACTAAAACCCTAGATTGTACTAGTACTAGCATAATGTAGGTAAAATTAGGGGGAAAATGACGAGGGTCTCAAAATCTAAGAAACTTTTGTTCAGCTTCAGGGAAATGTAAGATTACAGACGAGCATATATTGCTTCCTTTCTCATATCCTTGTTCACAGAGTTGACAAAAAAAAACTCTCTCTGTCAATAAGAATGTACTAATACAGTATTCGTTGACTCCCATGCTGATGAACGTTTTTCTCACAGATTTTGAAAGAATAAATTCTATGGGCCAAATTATGTCTGGAATTTCTTCAGAAAAGTGAATATCATGATTTATACCTTTCAACTGCAATTGCTAATAGAAAGCCCGAGGTAGTACTAGCATAAGTAAATTCAAGAAAAGAACGATTTGAAGACATCAAAATCTAGTGGACAAACCTTTCTTTCTTCAGAAGAAGGCAGAGTTAAGAGACAAGTTTCTCTTCTAAATTTAATTTCCCATGTTTATTTGTCTACCCTCACATTAATAGGTTTATAAGATGCCCACTTTAAATAGAGTGAACACTGTGCATGCTGATCAAAGATTACAGAAAAAAATAAAGAATTAAGAATATCAACAAAATAATCAAAAGACATACTTATTCACATCAGGATGGTAGTTTCTGGCAAGCTTTCGATATGCTGAAACAAGAAACAATAAACAATTAAAACTTGTCACAAAATGAAATGTAAATAACATATTGCCAACTTCTGAAAAAACACAAAAAGATATAAAAAATTTTATTGCTTCAGGAAGACATTAAAATATGCAAATGAACTAATTAGACCATACATGCGTAATCCAAAGAGATACGTAACTTCTCATTAGCAACATTAACAAAGCAGTGATAAAATCCATTAGCTAAAAAAGGAAAGCAATTGAGACACACCACAGCTTAGACAAGATATCAATTTTTATCTAGTGAAGCAATAATACTAAAAGCAATCTATGATGGAAGTAAATCCTTACAACTCGATAATAATCACACAATTAATCAAAGGTAGTCCGCTAATAAAAAAACCCAAATTAAGTGCAAGGAAAAACTAATGCAGTGTTAGACTATGCCGACTATTCTCATGGGACTTCAACTCATGAACTTATGGTCCTGGTGCCTTGGACTTTCCGTTTGACCTAGGCTTCATTGGCAGCATAGACAACAAGATTTATAGCTTCTATGTCACAGCCATGCCTCAATTGGTGGAGGCCATCTGGTGGCTTGGTATTGATGCAAGTTCTGAAAATCGTCAATCAAGATCTTATGATAATCACGGACCATTTGGAACCAATAAAGACGGCGAAGATAGTGTAGAATAATATAGTAGTTCACAGAAAATAAATGTACATTAGCAGAGAAAAAAGAGTCAAGGTAGTACTCACCACTTTTGATTTCTGATTTGCTGGAAGTTTTAGACACACCAAGCACGGTATAGTAATCCTGTGCATTGAAGGTCATCAGAAAATTTATTCAACGCTTAAACTGCATAATTTACTAAAACGGGAGACCATGAAATTTCTTTACATAAAAAACATGTTGAAACCAAAAAATAGTAAAAGACAAATCATACTCTGTCAGCTCTAACCACCAAACGTGTTCTTCGTTGTTGACATGAGTTATTGTACAACCCCGAACTGAAAAGTGCACTCAAGGATTCTTTAGAAAAAAATGTTGAACCAGGTGACGAGGACGACCTGATTCTGCTTGAGATACTGTACAGGAGAAAACAATAGTCATATAGAGAATAGAACCATGGAAAATACCACAATAATACAAGAAATATGTTTACACAAAATTTGTTGTAATGAGAAAGTAAATCCAAAGACATTTTTTTTTGCACCAAATTAAAAATATGAGAAGAAACATAGTAGGTAATAAAGGGGAAAAGGTAGAATATAGAACCAAAGTCAGTAAAAATGAAAGAAAATAAGAGCGGACGAGCTGCACAAACCCTCTGGCCAGAGAACGGAAGCAGAAACTATTTTAACTCAAGGGAAGGGATTCTTACCCCATGTCAGAAACTATAAAATGAATTAATTGGGACAGATGTCTAAGATACAAAGTAAAAGAACCTATCTATAGGGTTACAAACAACTCTTAAAAGGAAATATTGTGTACTAATCACAGAGTCGGTGATTAAGGAAAACAGATTCAGAGAATTCTTTTAATATCTTTAACACCAAAATATCAAGAAAGTGTTGCATAATTTATTATGTTCTCTTTGCCCTCATAAGAAAAAGAAAGATGGGGTGGGCACCCGGTGTTTCAGTCCAGGTTTTAAAGAATTGGGCGGGCCTGACCGTTTGGTAAACATGAATTTTTACTCATGGTAACGTGCGGTCCCATGTATAATGGTATAACCAAGCTGACCAGTTCCGGTTCAGTTTGCTCCGGTTCTACAATAGCAAAAAAAATTCAAAATAGCACTGATTTTTTACCTTCCACAAATTCCAACAAGCTGTAATACTAATTGTATGATGGAATAAGAAAAAATAGTCATTTTTTACAATCTGTTTCATTAAACAGAGGCAATGAAATCTAGTGCATTGTCAATGAAAATTTTGGTAGCTATGATATGGGAAAAATTATAATGTTCACTAATAACTACATTCAATCTAATATGCCAGAAAATTGATGCTATAAATAGTCGGTATGTTCAGTAATTTTAATACCACCAACTAATCAAAAGCAGCTTACTCATTATTAATTACCGTTTCGGTGTTTGCCTTGTTAACTTGTTGTGTTTCCATATGATTGGTGCAATATATTTTTAAAAATCAAGTAGATTAGGTATTTTGATTCTAGTTATTAGAACCGAGATTTGGACCCGAACTGCCGGTTCTCGGTTTTAAGAACCAAAACTGACCAAAATTTAATTGGAACCGAATCGAACAGGCCTATTTGTTCCAGTTTCGATTCAACTTGGGTGGTTCTGGTTAAAAATGGTCACCTTCTAAGAACCATTTGAACCTAGTCATCACAGTTTCTCACAGATCTTCAGCATTGTACCATGTAAACGGCTCTAGAAACAAAACACTAAATTCAAAATGCTGCTCACTTAGTTAACATTCATCTACATTTATAGAGCTAGTGAGCAATATCAATGGTGGAGGCAGTTGCCATTAATGAAATTTTCATTAATTTACATCTTAAGTGGATATCTAACTAAAACCACTTGATTAAATATCGAAAAGAACTCGTGTGCTTTGATGTGTGCATATTATATAGTAGTCAAGTCAAAAAAATGCATATAAATATACTTTGATCATGACGACCACAAATAATATAAAGGAAAAATTACATGAGTCCTATGTTTTAACCAAAAGAAGAAACTTTTTGGACATTGAAGTCTACTTTCAAGTAAAATATTTCCAAAGAAGGCCTAAGCACTTCGAAAGGCATTCTTCTATCATATTTCGAAATATATCAAAGGCATTCCTGTATTTAATCATCTTAATCTATACAAACACAGAGGACTTTCATCTATACTAAATGGATGAAACACTCTCAATAGACTTGAGTTAGAGTCTCTCAAAATCTCACATGCATTAGAAGGAAAAAATCCAGTTAGTTAAGTACTACAAGTCCATGCATATACACAACTGCACACTCTCAAAATAGATGGTACATGGAGCAGAAACAAGGGCAATGACAGGGAGCCTAAAGCAACCTCGATGTCAGGCACCATGCTATTATGTCAACCACCACAACAAGGTAATCGACTCAAGGAGCAACATGGCGTCCTTCTAAAATTTTGTTATTTTGATAGCAAGAGCCTAAATCAGTCCGTCCCTCTGCGAGAAGTAGTGGACTCAAGAGCAACATTGCCTCCTTTCAAAAAAATAATAATAATAATTTGATTACTAGAGCTCCAATCAGTCTCTGCCCCTCTGCAAAAATGGTGTTGGACTCAAGGAGCCTCCTTAAGAAATGCATCTATAGATGGAAGCAGTAGGAAGGATAGGAAATCAAAGACATCATTCTCCCAAAGTGAGAGCTCAATATGTCCATCACTAGTATTAGCACAAGAAACAACGTAGCAATAGCTACAAGCTTACAACAAGCATTTCTGCCATCGTTTAGCAAAAGTTCAGTACATCTCATTCTAATCTTTGACTACCTTGCATCCAGCAAATTTACCATTGAGTGCACTCTACTGTGGCACTGAGTTCTTGTCTACTTTGGCTAGCTTGCAATTATCGTGCACGGTGCAACCATAAATAATCAATCGCCCCATTACAATGGCAATGATGGTAACATACATTTTCATAAATACACTGCGAAAGACCAATTATTGTATATATTTTTTGATAAAAATTGGTAGTTTAAACCATGTGTCATTCTATCAAAAATTTTGGCCTTCCCATGACATCACAACCGGTTCCATCTCAACATCTTCAAGCAGAGGTGGAACAGAGAACTACTACACCAATCTGAGGAAAGCTTATTTCTCTTCTAGGCTTCTAAATACTTTCATGCAGAGTCCCATCAACAACAGGACTTCTCTACCTCAGAATCCTTTATTTGATGAACTCCAAGGTCAACCTCATGAACAACATATTAGCAGCACTTGCTTTCAGTTTGAGCGTCGATGCCCAGAATTTCCCAAACTATGTCATTCCAAGATTTGTGCATCAGAGAATCTTGTAAACCTCCCAAGTTCAAACAAATATGGAAAACCTAGAATTGCAAGATCTTAATTGGTTTTATACAGAACTTTTATTGAGTTTTTGACTCTGTTTCAAGCACATAATCCAAAAGCAAAAAATCAATTTCGTTGAGACAGCATTGCAAGTATGCATTTACAATTCACTTTAGTAATATCAACAATGATATTGTCCCGTGCTTTTCATTTTGGTCATGAACACAGAGCATGTGAAAGAAGTAAAAATTTGAGGTTCAGAACTTTGATAGACAATTAATCATCACTATCAAGAAAACATAAGAAATTTCTCTTTAATTCATCTCAAACGAAGTCCTACATTTTTAATGGGTGAGTGGAGTTCACTTTCCGAGATATCTAACATACATATTGCAAAGTTAGAGAGCTCCTTGACCAGTGTAGAGCAGCATACAAATTTCCAAAACTACAATCGGATTAAGCAAGCAAGGAAAAATTCCAAAGATAAAATCATAAAATAGCTGTGGATTAAATATATGAGGTGTTAGATTTTATAAATTTAGAAAGGAAAAATAGTCCACCCATAAATTTACATTAGCAATTTTGAGAAGATAATTTCTGAAAGTTCTTACCAATGAGGCGATATTGAGAATTTATTTGTAATGGAGGATCTTAACATATACTGAGACTGAACTCCCCATGTACTTCCACAAGGTATGATTGCCATTTAATTGACTGCACAAACAGTAAAAGACTTATTTGTTGAGACACATATCAGTGCTGGTCAAAGCATAACAAATACTACACAAAAACCCAAATGCAGCAACATAACTAATAAAGAAATAAAAAATTCTAAAAATTTACACACAAATATAATATTATTATTACCACATGCCAATAAGATAGTATCTTGTGAAGACATTGAGAAGTAACAAAGTAGAATTATGCAACCAAACCAAATAAAAAAAATTGCACGCTGAAGCTGTAAAAAATTAGTACGGCAAACACGTCATAAAAACGCTAGAGTTGTGAAAAAAAACAAAAATTTATCAGATGCATAAAATTCCAGCAATATACACAGAACATACAAATTATCTTTAAACCGAATTAATTCCAAGATTAGTTTCATCTGGTCAAAACTAGACCTTGTTTATTCACAAGCGTCAGTCTAGCAGCCCGTATGTAAATCTGTCTTCAGCTATTCCGTAAAAAATCCAAATTTGCAGCATACTGAACTTCCCCCAAAACCAAATCAATTTCAGCACTAATCAAAATCAAATATAACAGTCTTCGGGCGAAAAGGGCCAATGTTTACTCACTGCATATCTTGAAATTACAATTGAAATAAAACAAAAATCACTTAAAAACCCGCAAAATGCGACTTTCATTAGAATAACCTAAAACATGCCCTTAAAGTTCAAGCTTTTAACAACAAAAAACGAAGCCATACTCAAAATGGAATGGATACCTGAAGGTTTTGCCCAATTGAGCTTATGGTAGTGAAGCTAAGAGAGGCTGAAGGGAGCACTCAAGTGTGTTTTTGGAGGTGTGGGGAGATGAGGCTCCAAAAGAGAGAGAGAGAGAGAGAGAGAGAGAGGGATCTTTCCAGAACTCTACATATACGACCCGATAAAATGGATCGTTTGCCCGTTCAGATATGCGGATTCCATCTGTCTAATAAAAAATTTACTTGTAATGGACGCAATTTATTTTCATTTTCGTTTCTAAGCCCTCGATTTTGCTAAAAATCAAATTTTTAATAAATTTTGATAAAATGTAGAAGTTATAAATTCTATTAAAATTCATCATTGAATTTAATTTAAATTTTTATCAATTATTTTACTAAATCAAACATGGACTTAATATTGTACGTAATATCTAATCTTTTGTAATTATATAAATGTTGTATAAAAGAATTTTGGAACATAACGTCCCATGAAAACATGAGAAATTCTGAATTTAAAAGTTAGGGTCCAAATTATTTCAAACACTAACTATTGGGGACTAATATTGCAACTTGTCCTATTTTATAACTTTATTATTGATTAATTATAAATTTCATCAAAAGTTACAAACGTTAGAAAGCAAGTAAAATATTGCAGTGCATACATTGCAATTATGTACACACTTTGAAGCTAATAGATAGATAAATGGTGAAAATACGTTACAATAGGACTGATGTCTTGTCCACAGTGAACAAAAGATGCGACCTCACTGGTGGGATCTAAATATCGATCCACCTCATAGTGGACAAGATATTTCATTCATGTATGTTTAACAGAAATACAAAAGCATAGCAAGGATGGCGAGGCTAACCTGACTATTTCCATGCATTTTTACCCAAAAGAATTGAATTGGGAAAGCGTCGAAAAGGGTACACGAACTGTATAGTACTTTGCATTTTTTCTGCTGAGGTGCAGAAAAATGCAAAAATGTAGGTCTGAGGAGAATGCGATGGACCTAAAGAAAAGGTACTACTACAATAGCACATAGCATACAAGAAATTACAGGAAGTGGCCAAAACCAATTGTACTGTAAGGAAAATTTATTGTAGACAATTATATACACAGAATACTCAAAAGGCCGAACTGATTTTGTGCAAAATTCCTAATACCTAGCTCATCCCAGCAGAGGTTTTATGTCCACTTCGATTTATACAAGTTTTCTTCCAAAGAATTATGATATGGAATTAGGATGCTTGTTGATTTAGTCTCAGTGTTCCAACGTATCAGTATAGCACGATCAAATGTTTCTATCGGTAAGAACATAAAAGCCTGAGAGAAGCTTCAATTGACCAACTTTCTAAATCTCTTTTCAGCCATATTCGCAACCTTATTCTGGAGTTCGAGTACAAGTGTATGCTTGAAGTCTGCAAGTTACCCCCAAATTAAAAAAACTGAAGATGTTGATCAATTACTTGTTGTTTCATTCTCATTCCATATGGCTTTATATACAGCAATGTTATACACGCAAAAGACATACAAGGATCCTTCTAGAACTGGTTTGCCAGGTCGCTAACTGAATTATGCTCCATTCCTAGAAATCAGGATATATGCCAGATTGCATGATGAATTCTGTTACTCGGTTCAGGTTGGCAGCAATATCCTAACACTCCAGAGTGTGTGAGAATTAAGGAAAGAAAATCTAGCAGAAAAAGACAAAAAGTGAGGGGGATGATTAACAAAAAAGCCCACAGATTATATTAGTATTATAGGGAATAAGATACAGTTTGTTACATTACCACATTCNCCTCTCTCTCTCAAGGTGGAGTGTGTTTCTACCACTCCAAGCTTGTCTCTGAGGAAGAGGAACCTTGGATGAGTGAGAGGTTTCGTTAGTAGGTCTGCTATCTGATCCGATGATGGCAAGTAGCGAATTTCCAATTCTCCTCTTAAGATTTTATCCCTTACAAAGTGAACATCTACCTCAATGTGCTTGGTGCGTGCATGGTAAACTGGATTAGACGCTAATGCACTTGCACTCAGATTATCATACCAAATAATTGGAATTGATTGTTGTGATATTCCCAACTCATTCATCAAGGATTGGATCCAGGCAATTTTTGATGCAATGTGAGCTAACGCCATGTATTCAGCCTATGTACTTGATCTAGCAACAGCGTGTTGTTTCTTGGAACACAAGGACACCAAACTATCTCCAAGGTATACGCAATAGCCTGCAATTGACCTCCTGTCATTTGGGCAAGATGCCCAGTCAGAATCTGCGAATGCGGTTATATTAAGTATGTCGTTTTTTTGTAATAGCAAGTCCATGGTTTAGAGTACCCTTTATGTATCTGAATGCCCTCTTGAGTATATTCCAATGAGCATCAGTTGGAGCTTGAAGGAATTGAATTAATCTGTTGACAGAGTAAGTAATGTCTGGCCTTGTATGAGTGAGGTTAGAGGTGTCAAGATGGACGGGCCGGCCAGACCCGCGAAAATCGACCCGAATTGACCCTGGACCGCGGGCTGACCCGTGACCGGAGCGGGCGGTTCACGGGTCAAGGGAGTGTGACCTGCAGGCTTCGTGGGTTGTTGCACCTTTATGGGCCGCAGTTAACCCGCTGGCCCGTGAAAAAAAAAACTAAATTTTTTTGAAAAAAAAAGGGGAGAGAGCAGCCCAAGCTAGCTTAAGTGCCAGGCTGCTGCCTGCATGCATGCAAGCGTAGCATGCTATTTATTTATTTTAATTTTTTTTTAAAATCATGCAGGCTGGCACGCCAGCCTGCCTGAATGCTATTTTTTTTTTTTAATCATGCAGGCTGGCACCTGCATGTTTCAGATACAGGCTATGCCTGCATTGCTTAGCCTGCACGTCTAATTTTTTTTTATTTTTTTATAACGGTAATAATCTCTATTTCATCTATAAATTTCAGTTAAGAAACGATATTTACCTCACTTGTAGCCTTCTAAAAAATTATGTTTGTTATTACAATTGCAAATATCATCATCATCCATCTCTATTATATTTCTTTCTTTTCAGTTCTTACTACTAAACTATTTAATACTACTATATAATGGACTCTTCCAATTTTTCTTTTGAAAATTCTATGTTCAATGATAGTTGCTCCCCAATAAATTTAGAAGATGATAATGTTGTAGAAGTTGGATCATCTCAAAATTCAAGGAAAAAAACAAACATCAGAGGTGTTGCAAATTTTTACAGTAAATGAAAAGGATAGAAAAGCAGTATGCAACATCTGCAAAAAAGATTATGTCTGGAGATATGGATAAGGCACCGACACACTACAGAGATACAAAGAGAAACATTTAAATAAAACAGGACATTTGGATCATAGACAAACTCAAATCACTGGTTTTACTAATGCTAGTGGATCAGTTACTTTTACTAATTTTGTTTATTCGCAGGAACGAATGCGAGTTAGGATGTCGGAATTTTTAGCAGCTTGTGAGATTCCCTTCACATTGCAGAATATCAGTATTTTGAAGAGTTCTTGTAAAAGTACATTCAACCTTCTTATAGGAGCGTAAGTAGAAATATTGAACGTTTTGATTCTATGAAATTATTTTATACAATGATTGAGAATTTAAAAAATGAACTTAAAAAAATTGATGGAATTATGTGTTT